GTTTAAAGGAAATTCATGTTCCGCAGAAAATGTCACAGGCTATACCTAACCCTGAAGATTTTGCATGTCTTCAATTCCCCAGTTTGAGCTAAAAAACAATCTCCATGTTCAATTATAAAATTAATCACCAGTGTTTGTGCTCTAGAGAGATACATATGAGAAAAGTTGGTGGAATAAGGATAATGTTTTCCTAAATATATTTAGATATGCATGCACACACACGTGTATATACCTAAATATATTCTGCAGAGTAGGGTGCAAATAGTTACTTAGGCTTCTGATAAGTTTCATTTCTGGTAACTGGAAAATACATTTTTGTGCCCCAGAGTGATGTTACTAACTAATGAAATAGTACTGTCTGTGTTTTTCAGGATGTCCTGTCTGGAAGTAGTTTCAATTTCTGTTCTTTCTTTATCTTAATTTTAAAGATACAGCAAAATGTGTTTCTGAATAACATGCCTGTTTTCCTACTTAAGGTTAATAATGTCTTTCTGCTTGGATTCCCAAAGGGACTTAGACTCAGTTCAGAAATCGAGGTGTAAACCAGGCCCTTTGGGGGTGACAAGCGAGACAACCTCACTCCCCACATGCTCAGCGTCACCACGCCTGGGACCTGGCATGGTCTTGAACACCTTGCAGCTCTCACTCCGGGACAGGAGGAACGGGAAGGGGTGCGCACAGCACACCCGTCTGGGGCAGGTCTACTGGCTCAGGGCAGAGCTGCAGAGTCAGGGCAAATCCCTCTTTTCCACTTCAGCTGAGAAAGGCCCTACTGTCTGCAGGGCAGGGTGGCTAAGTCCTATGCTGTCCCTCTTTAGTGCAGCGATCTCCCCGCAGGGAGACTGTCTGCCCGTTGCTTGTTGGCAGGAAGAACCATCTTGTCTTGTCTCCTCTCTTGCAGCGACACAAACAAACTTCCCTTTTCCAATGGGTCTCTCTCCTGAGATCCCTGCACCAGTCTCTGTTGACAACATGCCATTTTCTGTTCAATTCAAATGCATGTTTACTTCTTTATTGTGATTCATGTCTGAGTTTCTTTTGAATCAAATTATTGCATCTCCCTGGTGAGAGGTGCCATACGACTATCTTGTTAGAACAAAATCAAATAAAAAATCTGCACTGAGCACTGCTCCATCGCATCCCCACCACATGTTTCCCTCTCGTTTGGACACACTTCTGTCGGCTACTTGATCAGTAATGAATCCTTCCAGTGTTTACGCCAATTTTCAGACATTGCTGTCTTGGAAAAGATAAAGAGGAACTGGTTGAAATGGGTTCAACAGAGAGAACGTCGCCACTTCAGAAATACTTTACAACCCGGGTGACTGGTTTTTCCTGCTATCCACAGATCGAAGAAGACCAGAAAGACCGAGTGGATGATGACACAGTCACAGCAACAACCAGAGTCGTCCTTTAGGTTTCATCCCCAAAGACGCTTCAGCACTGAAGTAACTCCCTGCTCCAGCAAGTCTTGAAGCCAAGAGTTCCCGGCATTTTTGAACGGGGATGGAGCAGTATCCTTCCCATTACACTTTTCACTGAATACATCTTCCCTCTCCCCTTTACTATTAATATTTTGGGTACCGATTGTTACCTTTTAAGCAATTCTTGTGGCCTCATATAAAAAAAATATTTAAAACGTGAGCCGTTCCTACTAAATAGATCTCCATGCAAGTACAGGAATGAGACTCGTGATGCATCTTTCTTTTCTTCTCATTGCTTCCAGAATGCCACCCAAACTTCCCAATGTGACACGCGAGGCCCTTCGTGATCAGAGACCCCACTGCGGGACTCAGGCATAGAGGACTCCGGCCGTCTCCCCAGACCACCCCATTCTCCTGCTTTTGCGTTGGCCTGACGGCCTCCCTGTCTCCCCTTCTGCCAACTCTCACTCATCTTCAGGGAGAAAAGTCATCGTTACCCCAAGCTGGCTCAGGGGCCCCCACTGGCCTTCCGAGCACCCCTGCACATCTCCCTTGGGCATGTGGGGTCACCCCCTGGCTGCTTGCTCCTGCCCTGTCAGCTTCCTGGGGGCCGGGAGATGCATTTCTCCTCTGTATCCCTGGCACCAAGCACAGCATGTAACTTGTTCAATCAAACTCTCCCTCAAATCCTATTTTGCCAAAGACACCAATGTAACTGTTTTTTTTTTTTAAAGAGGATTCTTTGGTCTACAGTTACCCTTAGGTTTTCCTAGCTTAGATAGGACAATACTATTTAGCAATAAAAGGAGAAAGCACATATTTTATACTTATTTTCTCAGTTCTTAAACTCTTAATCTACAGAATCAAACCTACCTATTTATTTTTAAGTTTTTTAAAAATTTTTAAGTTACCATGATACATGGTAAGGAAGTTACAGCCCTACAGATGAAGCAGAAAGTACTAAGCTCTTTCTAGAAAGTGAGTGTCCCATTCTTTCCTCAGACTGTTCTACACGAGAGACCACAGAGATGTACTGAAACCTCCACATAACACAGTTTCCCTTAAAAGGACGTGGTGTCAACTTCTGCTCTTGGATCTTATTATAAGTTACTATTTTTTTCTTCTACTACTAGCACTTCCAATGAACGCTTACCACGCGCTCGACATCATTCCTGCGCTTGTGCTGCGTCGATGAGTAACCCTCACAGCAGCCTTGTTAGGTTGATACTGTGATTTTTTTTTTTTTTTTGAGGCAGCGTCTCACTCTGCTGCCCAGGCTAGACTGTGGTGGCGTGATCATAGTTCCTGATTTCCTCTCTAACGTATGTTCTTTTTTCATTTTTTCCCTTATCACTTCTTTCCTTCTTTTTGTTTTGTTTTAATTGAAAACAGTTTGGAATTTAAAGTATTTACTTTTTAGCAGTCCTCTCTGATTACTGAATAGCTAAAATGAAAAAAAGAGTTTTTTGAAATGTAATTAACACATTTTATTTTGGGAAATCAATGAATTTTCAGTCATACTACACTTGAAATGAGTATAAAATACTTTACACTTAGAAATCATATTTCTTCAGGAGATCTGAGTGGACAATAATTTTTTGCATCTTTCAAGTATGCACTGTCATAGTGTGTTATAAGAAGTCACAAGATAGGTGTTTTTAAATAGTTCATGAAAAATTGGACTCAGGTTATTTTATGAATTGTTATTTGAGCCTAAAACTAATCTCTTTGACATTAACAGCTTTACTAAACATTTGAGCAATACCTGCATTCAGAATATTAGATAGAAATAAGACATCATCTCTATTCATTAGGCTTACATTTTCTCAATAACCTAATTTTGTCTTTTCATAAGATATTAATACTTTTGGAAGTCTTACTCTTAATCCTATTAATTCCTAAGCTAGCCTTTAAAAGTGCATAAGGAAATATGCAAAGGCAGTCAATTTCACTGAATTATACATTGAATCACTAAAGGTAAGTCTAAGAATTTCAGGGTTGCTAAAACTCAGAACTTCATTTGAAAATATTTTCTGGACTTAAATCAAACTCAGGGGCATGGTTTGGATCAGCTTCTTTGGCTTTGAAGTCTTCTGAACTAAGGTCACTGGGAACACACCAGGCTGTGCATGTTACTAGCAACGCAAAGTGTGTCTACTTGTCTGCTTTGGACAAACACTCACAAGAAGCGTAGCAGTGGCCCAGCCAGCAGTGGCACCATGTGTTGCTTTGAATGCTGTAATGAATCTTTGACCAGCTTGGAACGAGAGCCAACCCCAAGACAAGGTGGCATCTGGGGCATAAAATGAAGTGTCGTGAGTGTACCCACAAGGAGAGGAAGAAGCAAAGGTAGAAATTCACTGGCCATAGAGGTGGTAGGAACTGATTCTAACAATGCTCTAATTCTCGGCAAGATGTCTCCCAACTATGAGCTAGTTAGGTAAACATGGGACCAGAACCACATTCTAAGATTTAAAAACCCACATAGCTACATAATTCTATTTTTATTCTGAGTAAGCATGTTACTTTATCTTCATCAATGACTGTAAACTAATTTTAATAACATAAAAAAAGCAATCCAACCTTCCTGCCTCACCACCCCCACCCACACATGCCCGTACTTCTTTGAATCAGATGTCTTCAAGTCACTTAATTCTCTTCAGTTCTTGAATGACCTTCCAACAGAATTAGCTAATGGCACAGGCTGTGAGAGAGGTAAGCCCTACCTTTTATATATGTAGGTGAATATTACCATTCCCGGAAATGCCCCCGACAGCTGTCCACAAAATTGCCCAGGACAGCAGCGTGCTCCCTAGGCTGGCTGGACAGTAACAGCTGTCACAACCATGATAATAGCCAGTCCCTGCACTGCTGTCTAATCTCTACTACATGACATTGCTGGTTGGTCTATAATTGCTTTAAGTGGACAGTTTCTTCCTGAGATAACAACTATAAAATTATTAGGATTTAATATCATACTTAATTATAGGAAAAGCCAAGGAAGGTAATCAAGAATGGGGAGGGAAACATGAACTAAAACTTAATTCTGACAGAGAGAAGAAAAAAAGACATAAAAATTAGAAAGAATGGGGAGGGGAAGAGAGCCTGGTAGGTCTCTGTTTTCATTACATTATTTATGCAAAATGAAGCAAAACATAGCACGTTCTTCCTTTTTCCATCTAACACACATGAACTTCTTCGTAATAAGTCTTACCAGCAAATGGAAATAGATCCATGGATAAAATACAGTTGGCCCGTTGTACCTGAGGGTTTCACATCACGGATTCAACCAAACAAGGATGAAAAATACAGTATTCTAGGGATGCGAACCCATGGATACGGAGGGCCAACTTTTTGTATCCTTGGTTCTGTGGGGCTCACTGCAAGACTTGAACATGCATGGATTTTGGTATCCACTGGGGTCCTGGAACCAGTGCTGAGGGATGACTGTACCTAGTCCCCTCTGGTATCTCTCGTGGGGTTTGTCTGGCCTACTGAATGAGCTGGGAGCACAGTACCTCGTGCGGTGTCCAAGAAGAAACCAGGAAGGAGCCCTGGCACGGAGCTGGTGCTCACCTCATATTCCTCCTTGAAGCCGTAGCCCTCGGCACACTTCATCTGCGTGATGTGCTGGAGCAGGTCTGCCACCCGGATGGCGGGGTGAAGCTGCCCAGTCTGGTAGGGCACGTCGGCTGGCTCGCGCTTCTTGTAAGTGTGGGACTGCACCAGGCTGCTGGTATCGCTGGCCATTGTGTGGGTTTCATCTAGGAAAAGAAGACCAGGGAGAAAATGAGAGAGGGCCAGGGGACTAAGTCGGCATCACTGAGAATGCTAAGCAGCTGGCCGCTGACATCCCCTCAACCTATGGCTGCAAAATTCCCTACGATGGCTCAGCAAAAAAGAAAAGTTAAATGTTTAGAAGTTTAAATGGGGTTGGCAATACTGATAGGAATGTGCAGAAATCTTTGTTTTTACAAAGCAGTCCAAACGATATATTGCTTTCAAAAAGCTAATTGATAAGGGCCCTTTAGGCTTTCAGTGCTAAGGTTTGTGGAAGTTTCAATCTGAAACTTCACCAAGACCCGGTGCAAAACCAGTCTTGTATTCTTCCAAACATTAGTTAACTAGTTTGTATGGTGATGTAAATAAACTCTGCACGAATGTTCTGTGAGCAAAATAAAAGTGCACAAAATGGTTTGGCTTAGAAAGCTAGCAATGGAAATGTGGACTTAACACATGAAATCAAAGAGCAGAAAAATAAAAGGAAATTGGTTTGGGGATAACGTTTTGATGAGTCACTTTGCATGCTCCAGTATCGGAAAGCTTGACAAAATATTGTGGAGCAACACATCACACATGGAATGTTCTACAACAGCAAACATGCAGGCCAGCACAGAGCAGTACCAGCTGGCTTCGTCAGAATCTACCGGTAAGACACACACTCCCACTCCCTCCGCAACTTTTCCATGGGGCAAATTGGGGAACTTACCATTTATTGGCACTTTTAAGAAGATACATATCAGGAGAAAAAAGGAGGAGAAAAAGGAAACAGGGCATAAGCAATAGTACTGCGTGAATAATTACAGGTAGTTTTTATTTTGTGCTTTAATTTTCCAGTTAAGTTTTCTATTGAGAGGTGGTCAGAGGGCAAAGCCTCAATTCTCCCATCACATTAGGATGGAGGTGTTTAATTTAAGTACTCAATAACAAAAAGGAGGTTAAAATTAGTATTATAATTGCCTTTCATCCCCCATGAACCAAGTAATGACTAAGTAAGTCTTATTTGTATTCAACACATTTTCTCATTTAAATTTCTTGAACAAGTCAACCAAATTGTACTACAAAATTAATGCCAAAATTTGGTCACATAAGCCTAAAGAGGCTATATTTTAACAGAAGACTACTAGTAAATTGGGTTACTGAACTGCAGAAATGGTAGCTATTAAAAATGTCTTATGCAGGAAAGTGCTATTAGACTAATAATTCCACATTCTACAGGTTAACTCATTATAATGCTGAACCCCTTTAGCTGTTTTATTATTGAGGATGCGTATTGGCAAAATATAATGCTAAAGTCACTTAAAATGAGAATATTGTATCAGAATTGATTCCAGATATAAAGAATTAAAACATATAAAGGATATATTTAATTTTTAAAAATTACTAGTTTATCAATAGGGAATTCAGCTATAGTTAATTATTATCATTATTTTTTTTACTGAGAAGTTCAGCACCAAAAGAAATTTAGTGCAAGGGTGCTTGGTTAGCAGGGCCTGGTTTGAAACCCGATTTCTATCTGCGTTGCAAAGCACCTGGGGATGCATGGCATGACAGGTGGTATACAAGTGTGTAGCTATGTTGCTGTTGCTGAAATGGCACCTGGATCACTACAAGGTGGCTAAAGACACAAGACAAAATAAAAAAGGGTGGTAAGCTGATTTTATGATTTTTTTTTTCATTTGGATTTGCTTTGAAATTTAGCAATTCATGTGTTCCCACTTTCCTTGAACAGTCACAAATAAACCTGGAAATTTTCACAACAGATTCGTTCGCTGGCAACTGCCAAGCTTCATAAACAGGGATACAGGAACCCTGCTGAAGTACTGAATCCCTTGAGCTTTTAGTTGCCATGACAGGAAGTTCTGTTCTTTATAGTAAAATAAATGGAACATTAATTAGTTTCCCCTCTGTGCCTCTCTCATTCTCGCAGTTTTGTACCTTGTGGGATGAACGTAATTAATACGCCCTCCATCGTGGGCTGACCTTCTCAACTTCCCCTGAATGATTTGGGCCTTTCACGTGGTTACACCAGCAACCTAGCAATGCTCTGATCCCAGGGCTGGGTATTCTTGGAAGTTTTAAATCCACAGAGATACAACCACTGTCACTGTTGTACATAATCATCCTGCACAGCATTATGCCATCTTGGCCTCATTACTAATGTGGAACATGTCTTTAAAGCATGTAAACACTACCAGGTCCATCTAAGAAAACTGCTATTACCTAGCACATGCATATGGAAGAGGTAATAGAAGGTTTCTCCTGCGATATCTGTTATGAAATTGGGTCACATACTACTAGAAATTCTTGATTCCACTAAAATTAGTGATTAATCAGTTTTCTGTGACTTCTTAAAAAAGAATTATTACTAATAAAACATATCATTTATCATTAATTTCCTTTATGTGTTAAAAAAATCACCCACCAATAATTTTTTAATTAAAAATAATGCCTAAGAGGAAATCAGAAATAAAGCTTCTCCCTAACAGTTCAGATCATTTTCTAGAACTGAAAATTAATTCTGCTTATATTATGAATTCTCCTGAATTTTTGACAAACCAATTGAAAAACAAAATTGAAATTAAACCTCTAATTTGAGGTGGGGGGTGTTCTATCTATCTATCCATCCACCCATCTATCTATCTATATTTTTGCAAGCAAATGAGCTACAGGTGTACTTAAGCTCTATACCTTAGAGCTGAGCACCTCCACGAGAGGTGGAGGGAAAGGTACTAGAGGACTTGATTGTGTTGAGCTCTGATGCACAAAACATTTCTTCTTGTCTTAATGTCAATTATAACTGCTACTATCCTCCAGAAGTGCTAGAGTTGCCATGCAGCTCATCTTCTGCCCATGGTTTCAAGGGATAGCCTTGCCAGTCCTTATTATGCGATATACAGATTCACATTTGCACTGAGTAATACATTAGGAACCGTCTCCAAGCACTGCCATTTGTGATGCTGGTACCTGCACAGGCCATACATGTTAACAGTTATTTGTCTGTCTGGCTGACTTCTTTTTCCACAATCTGCATCATTTTTGCTACTTGAATTGTCTGTGCAAGTGATTCTGTCTTGGTAAAAAAGCCTAACCAACTTTAAAAGATGTCATTAATGTTCATAATAACAAAGCAGCGACTTTAAAAAATGATATTTGTTTAATAAGCTTATCTTAATCCTGCTGTGAAATCTGAACATTTTCTTTCCTTTTGACAATGCACGTCTCAGCCCTCCCCACTCACAGCTCCCCCGAGGTCAGAATATCTACTGGAGGAACCTCAAATGAATGCCACAGCGCACAAAGAAATCGCAAATCTTTGTCTATCAAAAGATTCTGCAAATGTCATTTGCATGTAGATTACATTGTTCTGGGGCCTAAGATTAGCCTGTGCCCCTCACTTATGAAAATAATAAAAATGCAGCTTTCTTTCCCTTATAGTTTTATAGTAAAAGGCTGGAGGAGGGGATTTAGTGGGCTTTGTCAGCCCTCAAAATGATGCAAAATTCAAAAATTCTCTTTTAGATCCATTCTTAAAACTTCTAGCTTAGTTCATTTTTTTCCACAGGCAACAAACTTGCTTAACCCCAGAGAACACCATAAGGAAAATAAAAATTACCCTCTACACACGTAACAACTTAGAGAAAAGAGAAGCACAGGGGAAAAAATTACGTTGCAAAGATATAAACCCTTGTAAAGAGAATTACGAAGGAGAAGTCGAACAACTGAGGATGGAACTCTTGCTACAATGAATTGTTATATACCTTGAAGTCGTTTTTGTTGTACTCCTTTTCGGTAAGGTTAGTAGTAGAAAGAGAACACAGCCGTGATACGCTCGGGTTATTTTTGCGTCTCAAATGCAACAGCAGCTCATGCTTGTTTGGTTATCACAGCCCAGGTAATGCCATTTTTCTCCTCACCCTTCTTATATTGAACAAACAGGATTTTTTTTCTGTAACCCCCTGCTGGGAATATTTCATACTTTAAATGCATTCTGCCCCAGTGGGCTAACATTTTAGTTCCTTTCTATGACATCTGACACATAATAAACCATATGATTATAAAGTGCCATCTTGTCATTTCGCTGTTCAGATCTTCAGCTCCTTTGAAATTCCACTCTGTGACAGACACTTTGGAATGCTGGGAGGGTGCCGTGAGTGGCACTGAGGATGGGTAGGGGGCCAAAATTCTATTGTGATCATTTTTCTGCATACCATTAGGCATAATTAGAAAAACGCTATTTTTGAAATTGAAGTTTTTAGTGCTTAGCAATAAGTGAAAATAATGAGAAGCTATTTTCACTTTTATGACTATCACATTTGACAGAATTCAACTCTTGGAAGTACACAGCTGGGTGATGACATGGTTCTTTCCCTTGGGATCAGACCTAACCTTCAATTCTGAACACAGAAAGGGAGAATACCAGAACTGGGATTGTTCCTTTGAACCTTTTGGTATCATCCCCAACATGCATGCAGCAAACCCTCCTTATCAATGTTGACTATTTCAAGAAAGTCTTTTTCTCATCTAACCCTGCCCACCGCCCAAAGGCCACCCACCACTCCCATGTCCTGCTTATAATCACTACAACATACAGAATTAAAGCCGCAATTTCCTACAGAGTGGCCACTGACTTTCTAAATTACTCCTGCAATAAACTGTGGTAAAGGGAAATGTTCTCACCTAAAATTGCAGTTGGCACAAATGGGTCTGTCATACATCGAAAGCAGGTCAATGCAGAGAAAGTAAAAAGAGAAAGAACAGTAAATGATTGATGAACGGTCCCCCAATTTCTGCACAGAAAGTCGTAGAAAGCATTGGGTTACAACATCTCAAACATAGTAAGCTCCTGAAGCATCACGGATAGCATAGTGAGGGCTGATTGATTCTGACCGCTAAGGGGTTATGAGGGATAAAACAATGGAAAAATCTGTTACCTGGGTAATAGGAATTAGGCACCGATGTGCTCAGTGTGTTTGTTTTCATTGTAAAGGATGACGGTGAAGACACAGCTGTAAATAAAAGAAAGGCAGGTCAGCAGCTGTAGAGAGGTATACGCACTCTGAACACAGCACTCTGAGGCCGCCGCAGCGACTCCGTGCTGGAGTGGAATGCTGACAGGAAGACATCTCCGAGATGCGCCGACACCTGCGTGGCGAATATCACCGTTCCCAGCTGTTTCTGGGTAGCTACTTGTCCTTTAGAAGATGAGCACCCTTTTACCACTCCAAGTCTTTTGCCCCACCAATGAAGAGAAAACCCACAACCGCGGCCAGCATTTTGGGTAGAAAAATTCATCGGACTTCTGTTGTGACCTCTAGCCTTCGCTTATGGAATTCTGCTAGCAGGCTGAGCTGAATTTTACAACAAAAAGTAGAAGAATGTGTCTACACATGGCTTTTGGAGAATATTCTGAATGTCACTATTTCTGTAGTTTGCTAAATCCTCTTCCTCCTTACAATTTGGATATGCAGAGAATTCTCCACAATGCTATGACTTGGTTTATGAAAAATAAAGGTGCTGTTCCGTGTGTACTATATTTAGGAGAAAGCCTCATGCCTTCATATTGTTCTATTAGTCTTTTAAATATTTATGAAAATGCTTATTTTTCTTAGAAATATTCCTCTGAAACACTCAAGATTGAACCGTTACACATTCTATTTCTCCCTGTTATCAAGAGGGAAAGTCGACCCCATCTAATTTACTTGATTTCATTGAAAATGGATCTTTCCTATTTTTAAGAGACATTTTAAACTCTCTCCAAATGTCTTAATTGATTAGTGTTTCAAAAACACTTTAATTTAATTAAAGTATAAAGATTTGAATGTGCTCAGCTGGTGAAACTTCAGTCCAAATCTTAACTCCTCTGATGTAGCTATACGATCTACGTGCTGCCGAGTTCCTGATGAAGACACTAACGTGCAATCACATCACTGTTTATGGGCAGCACAACCAATCCTGCTGTGGACAGGGAATAATTGTTCTGATGACATGTTAATACATTTAAACTCTCCAGGAGCAGTTCCTTTAGGATAGTGCCATTAACTGTGTTTATATTTTTAACGTGTGGAATTAGTAAGTGACAGAACAAGGACCAGAACCCAGGCTGCCATTTTTAAGATATTTTTCTAAAACAGAGAAGTATCACATTTATATCGTATGTTTATGGTAAGTTGCCAGGAAAAAAGAGAACCGATGAAAATAAGAATGAAAAACAAAATGAGTACCAATAGGATATGCCAGGGTCAACGAGAATAATGCTTCTTCATTACCTGCAGACATTTTTATATGGTTGGTAAAAATGTGCAGAGAATATATAAAGTAACTATATTTATTTTCACCTTTTTGTTAAAATAAAATATTTTAAAATACTTTCATCTCTGAGCATAAAAATTAAACCCATCCCCACTATCCACATCTATTTTCCCTTTTATGGCATATTAGAGGAGATGGTACAACTCTTATTTGCTTTGGTGGACAGGTTATTCCCCACTCTCATAAATGTGTTCATGCTTATTTTTAAATTCTCTAATTTCATTTTCCTCACTGTGTCATTTCTAAAAGTTACTCACCTCACAACTTCTAGCACTTTCTCCCAACCCTAAAAGATCTCACACGTACCCATGCTTGTCGTAGGTGTGGTGCTGGCAGCCTTGTGGTCTAATGAACACTTTTCCTGAAGGTTTTCTTCTTGGGAACTGTTCTCTTACTTTAAAGGCACTAAGAGATCACTAGGATGAAGTTTACCTTCAGGGCCACCTTGTGGATGAGATTTGATGAGACCTGCTCATTGCTCAAAGAGCAGGAGGAACATGGAAAGTCTACTGTGGTGTTTCTTCTGCGGGCTTTATTAACGGGGGAGACATAAAATCATGCCTAATAGCCGATCAGCTGGGGAAGCTAACTAACATCGGCTTCTTCAGCAGTCCTTTTTGCATGAACATTTTTGGATTCCCACAGATACATTCGCTTTTTAAAAAGTAACTGCCAAATTGAACTTCCTGTCCAGAGGCGAATATCCCCTGTTGTTCACACTTCAAACGCCTAGAAACTACTGATACAGGTTCCTGCTCTTTGGGTGAGTAATTCCAAGTAAATTTATTCGAGAGAAATTTCACCATGAAATAGAAAGTTTGGAACATTAATGGGTTATTCCAGAAAGTGAGAACATATATCTCTGTGGTCCCTTTCATACTGACATTCAAGAAATAGCTGCTGCTACAAAAATTCTAACCCTGTGTGTGGTCAAAAGTGCTCCTCCGACCCCAGCCCACAACAGATGCACCACAGGTTGCTTTATTTTGACAGTTGAATGCATTATAAATGTATTTTTAAATAAATAATATCTGCTACAAAAAAGCAGAGAGAGTTCTATGAAAAAAATGGGAAGTCGTTCGTGGTGTACTGAGATACCACGGCTTCTATTACCTATCCTGGAAGTGACACGAAAGGGGAAGGAACGAAGGCCGAGGATGAAAACAGAGCGGCGCAGTCTTGTGCACCAGCGCCAAAGCAGCGTGGGATGCACGTGTGCCACGGGGCCAGGAGCACGTGAGAAGCAAAGGAATACAGGAGGATAAGCTCGAACAACTGGCCTCTACAGCAGGAAAAAAAATAAGAGACCGAATTCTACGCACAAGGCTCGGGGCCCACACTGTCCAAGCTGCTATCTGTCACCCCCTCCAGACACTATTTCTGTGTTCCTTCCAGTTATGCCCCCCTCCATCCCCAGACTTTACGTGCACTTTTGTTTTTTTGGGGGGGGTAACATTAATAGCTGTTCTTTGACTCCACCCCCATGCTGGCCAGCATCCTGATTATGTAGCTGGGGTCAGCAGTGGTCTGTGGCACAGATTTCACACAGTAAAGAAACCCCCAACCTTGAACTTGGTGAGTGTGTGCCTTGAGCCACAGAGTCAGGCATGTACCCCTGCAGCTACCTCTGGTCTCCGAGAAGATCACCAGGGACAAAACAACTATTCCTTTTGGGCTTCATATAGTCAATCTAATTGCTAGTTTCCTAAAATACTTCTTTTTACCTGGATTACAGGTGGAAGTACAGGGAGGTATTTACCCACCTGGCATGAGGCGTGAGACTTGTGAAGTTGAAATACAGTTTAATTTATTAATTGCCACTAATAGCCCTGTAATAAAGGCAGAACCTGTCAGCTAAACAAATAAACAATTAACTTGTTACTGCCATTTAGTGAACTGTTTTATAACAGGCTTCCCTTGTGTAATTCCACACCTGGCTAGCTTACAAAGGGGATCTAAACAACAAAAGAGATGATGAGAAACAGGTGGCTTCTTCCTCAAGCAGAGGAAGGGCTGCATGTCACTGCTCTCTCAGTCTTTACAGAAACTTCACTGTGGTTTCCTTGCTCTCTGGCCCCGCACTATCACCTTTAGAACAACATCATCTTTGCCAAGCATGTAAGAGTCTTCAGGATCATTTAAAATGACTGGAGAAACTGACGTGGCATAAGAATCCTTTAGGAAGAATTCTTTTTGTGTTTTCATCCCTGAGTACTACCTGAAATACCAGAGAGAGGTATTAAGAGAAACGTGAGCACTTACATCTCCCATTCAGATTGTGCGTGTCCATGAACGAGAACGCCTCGTCGCAGTTCGTGCCTTGCTCGGCATAGCTCTTGTCCATCGAGTTCACCATCACGGTCATCTCCTGCCGGGTGCTGCTCAGGGTCTCCTTGCGCTTCTTGGCCAGTTTCCTTAAGACAAAGAGTTCAATTATGTAGGCACCGTAGACATGCATTCGAATGGAATGCAGACCTTTGGCATGTGTATTGACCTATGTTCAGAAATAACTTCTACTCAATTAAACACATTCATTCACAAATTGGTGTATGGTACTTCCCACACATCAGGTCCTCTCCAGGCTGCAGACACAGAGGTGAAAAACATCTGCTGCCTATTCTCAACCAAACCACAGCCTGAAACATTATGTTTCTTCTGCTATAAGCTAAATTAAAATGACCAATGATCCTAGAACAACACAATCATAATCTGCTTACTGATGTGCACCTAGAGGTATTAACTTTTTACTAAATTATTGTCTACATTGCCATACACGGTGTCGACGAGAAGATTCACCCTAATAAATATTTGTCAAGCAAAACCGAAATAATCCAAGGATGAATCTAAAAGGCATATTGTAAACCTAAAGAAAAGAACTAGGGAGGAGTCAAGAATGTGCAACAGCGGATGTGCACAGAGGGTGTAGGTTCTGACCAGAGCCTACAGAGGACACAGCAGCTCAGGCCTCAGAAGAATCGGAAGAGCTGGTACTGAATTCTCAGGAGGCCATGACATCACCCCAAATCCCAAATGAACCCAAATTAGCTCCCCATCGAAGTCTCAACTCCTACAGAGCAGAAGGTAGACAATGTCATGTTGCTGGGTTCCCTCGAAAGTTTAGCGGAGTAACTCCTCACTGTTCCGCTCCTCGGTGGAAGAGAATACAAAATGGTTGAGGACAGAACAGAGATTTCCAATTCTTTTTGAGACATTGATTAATCCTGGCCTCTGTGTCCTGCTCACTGACCACCAAAAACTTATCACCTAAAATTACAGATACCTGTACAAAAGCTGTAAGAACCTAAGCAAAACTAACATAAATAAACAGATAAAACAAAGTTTTATAGATCTTACTACCAGAGGTGGTTGTATGTATCCAAGACAGACAAGAATAGTATTAGGGATGCTTAAGGAGAAGGTATAAAGTGAGAAGGTTTAAGACCATAGCACCATAATACCAAAAATACTACACCATAAAATGTTTGAATTCTGCCCAAGCACCTAGCAGCATCTACAAAATAAAATGGCAGCTCTTTCTAGTAAATCATCTTGACACTGATTGACCTAGGACACAGTAGAATTTAAAATGAGCCACGTAATCAAAATCACACCCATATTAGGTGATTGCTAATGCAATGTAAGGCACTGACAACATTAGACCATATGGATAATCTTTATTATCATTTCTAAATGACACATAATCCAAATGTTTCCTTGCCTGTAGTTATAATAATATTTTAATTTCATACTTTGAAGGCAGAAGGGTTTCATTAATGAGTTGACTTTTTTATTGCTAAAAGTTGTTGGAAAAAAGATGTATTTTTAAACCAAAAAATGAAAATCACCTACAACATAAAAAGATTTTGAAAGGTAAGCCAGTGTGACTCCTCTGGGCACCGATACCCCTCTCTCACCTCATGTCAATCACAATCGTCTTCTCCAGACCTGACCCCAGCCCTGAGCCAGCCACGCTAGCACGAGGGCCAGCACCGGGGCCTGGATGTTCTCAACATGTGTTCTGGTCAGAGCCAGCACCAGGCCACCCTCTCTGCAGCTGCACTCACAATAATACGTTTTCTCTCCGCTTCTGGATCTGCCAGATCGCTGGAAAAACATTCGTAGGCCAGGTCTCCCCAGGAGCCCTGATGTGGAGGATTGAGATAATTAGCTCCATAATTCAAGCAAAATGCCCACTTTTTGCTTGAATTTCTTTGATTTACTTTGGACTGATATATGCAGCTAATTGCCTCAATGTTCTTTTTTGTTCTGCCTATAAAGAGAGGCCTAGTGAACTTTGCCAGACTTCCCTCTTTGGCTTTTCTTGCTTGAATCCCTCTAATCCTAAAGGTTAGCAGATGACAGCTAACACGCTTCTTGTGTGGCTGGTGGGAGCAGGGAGGGATGTTTGCTCCAGTAAAAGCTATGCTTGTACTGGAAAAAATGTGTCTCCTTTGTAATCCTTCATATGCACGAACTAATTTCATTGATGTCACACTAATCACTCCATAGCTGATCTTCTTTAAGCACAAAAGACCTGCAGTAAGGACTCATGAGAGCAAGCTCATGTACAACACAGGTTCAGCAGAGACCCGCAGCTTTAAGCTCATATCCACAAGCACATACTCTATGCCCGTGAACTTTCTCTGAACTCAGCTCCCAACGTCCTCAGCAAGGCTTCCTGCATTAACCCTACACTTTAACCACATTTTTACTCTCATCAGATGTCACAAACACAAATGTCTCCGTGGGGCCATGCTAGTAAGGTAAGGGAGGGAACCAGTGTAAGACAATAGGGGTGATGCAGACCAGTGAGATGGAGGGGACAGTGACTCAGCTGCCACAGCTTGAAGCCCCAGGGAGGCCCCAGTCTTTGCAAGTTTCAGGAGAAACCAGAAATCTACATTTTATGCTGACTCTTAATTTTTAACTGTTGTCAAATAATTCAAATTTAAAATAAAAACACCATGTGGCCCACATAAAGCATGTCTGTGGGTACTTCTGCTCTCCACAAACAGCAGCACTTAGAAGTGTCACCGTACTGGAATGGAAGGAAGTGGAAACCAAGATACAGCGTACAACTACTGTACGTCAGCACTCTAGTAAGCGTGTAGGAATTATTCTTACTTCTTGCTTCACAGATGAAGGAACTGAGCTTCAGAGAAGTAACTTGTCCACGTGGTGGAGCTGGATCGGACCTCACATCTCTCTGACCCCAAAGGTATTTCATTAGAGCAATGTGCTATCTCTCGTAAGGTAGCTCATTAATTTATATTTCCTTACAAGTTCCATCATAATTATCACCAAACTGCTTTCAAGTATGAATCATCTATTGCCCCCAAACTAAATATGCTTTGAAAAAGTTTACTAGAGGAGTAGGAAAAGTGGCCTTAAGGCCACATGTGGTCTTCTAGGTCCTTAAGTGCAGCCTTTTGACTGAATCCAAATTTTACAGAACAAATGCTTTTATTAAAAGGGATGAAACTTTTCTTGCCTTCTTTAGTGCTTAGAAAAGGACAATCTTGAAATCAGAAGGCTGCAGGTTCCCCGCCTCTGGATGCTTTACACAAATCTAGTGGCATCCAGTATGTTTATTAAGTGAACTAATCACCACTGTACCAAAGCATTACTAAGGAAGGGTTTTTAGAAAACTCACCTATCGAAAGTAGCTTGCTTGTTTATGGAGGTTTTGAGTCATTGTTCGGGATTTTCATTTGTTTTTATATACAGGCATAAGTCGGAGGTACCATGGGTTTGGTTCCAGATCACCACAATAAAGTGAATTGACTTTGTCCAGGTCTATCAGAGAAATTCTATCTATGGCAGCTACAGCCTTATGAAATTATTTATTAAATAATAATACTTGAACATTGGAATTACTCTTTGATCCATGGGCTGCAGAATGTATTATGTGTTATCAGGCATGAAAACATTAATCTCCTTGTACATCTCCATCAGAGCTTTTGGGTGACCATGTGCATTGTCAATGAGCAATAGTATTTTCAAAGGAATCTTTTTTTTTTCTGAGCAGTAAGTCTCAACAGTGTCCTTAAAATATTCAGTAAACTATGCAAACAAAGTATGGATGACAAATGTGCTATCATCCAGGCTTTGTTGTTCCACTTCTAGAGCACAGGTAGAGTAGATTTAGCATCATTCTTAAGGGCCCTAGGGTTTTCAGGATGGTAAGTGTGCACTGGCTTGAACTTGAAATCACCAGCTGCATTAGTCCCTAATAAGACAGTCAGCCAGTCCCTTGAAGCTTTGAAGCCAGGAATTGACTTCTCTCTAGCTATGAAAGTCCTAGATGGCATTTCTTCCAATAGAAGGCTGCTTCATATGCACTGAAAACCTGTTGTTTAGCACAGTCACCTTCATCCACGATCTTAGCTAGAACTTCTGGATGTCTTGCTGTAGTTTCTCCACCAGAACTTGTTGCTTCATCTTGCACTTTTATGTTGTGGAGATGACTTCTTTCCTCAAACCTCATGAACCAACCTCTGCTACAATCAAACTTTCCTTCTTCAGCTTCCTCACACTCCTCAGCCTTCACAGAACTGAAGAGAGTTAGGGGCCTTGCTCTGGATGAGGTTTTGGCTTTGAGGAATGTTGCGGCTGGTTTGATCTTCTATCCAGATCACTCAAACTTTCTCCGTATCAGCCATAAAGTTGTTTTGCTTTCTTATCATTCATGTGTTCACTGGAGTAGCACTTTCAATTTCCTTCAAGAACTTTTTCTTTGCATTCACAGCTTGGCTAACTGGCATAAGAGGCCTAGCTTTCAGCCTGTCTTGGCTTATGATATGCCTTCCTCACTAAGCTCAATCATTTTTAGGTTTAGATTTGAAAGTGAGAGACGTGTGACTATTCCTTTCACTTGAACACTTAGAGGCCATTGTAAGGGTATTAATTGGCCTAATGTCAACATTGTTATGATTCAGGGAACAGGGAGGCTCGAGGAGAGGGTGAGAGATGGGAGAATAGCCAGTCGGTGGAATAGTCAGAACACACACATTTAGTAGGCTCGCAGCACCCTGAAACTATTATAATAATAACATCAAAGATCACTGATCACAGATCACTGTAACAGGTATAATCATATTGCAAGGACTACCAAAATGTGACACAGAGACACGAAGTGAGCACATGCTCTTGGGAAAATTGCGCTGATAGACTTACTTGCCCCAGGGTTGCCACAAACCTTCAATTTGTAAAAAATGGAATATCTGAGAAGCGTAATAAAGTGAAGCGCAATAAAAGAAGATATGCCTATACAGCCCAATGCTCCTGTCCATAATTACAGATGGGTGAAGAGGTTAGATTTAGAATTGAGGCTCAGTTATGACTCTGGATAAACTGGAGTTTATTTCTCTTTTTTTCTTTCTCTCTCTTTTGAGACTTGTGTTTCAGATATGTA